AGGGTTATCAATCTATGTTTTAACTTAAGCAATTGATATTTAAATAAATATAGTCCCTTAAACATTAGTATCAAAGAATTATATTTTGTAGTAAAGATTTTCATTATCTGCCCGTTAACGCGTGAATTTGTTTCCTAATATTTCAAATATATGGAAGTGCCTATCTTTACGTTCATGTAATTATCGTATTTTTTTTAAAAAATCGTATAATTTTTTTTTGTTTAAGAGTAATATAAGTAAAACAATAACAAAAAATGATAAAGATGTGTTGAGACAAACTCAATTTTGAGCAATTTTTCAAATTTCCCAATTAGTTTTACTGTAATTACGAATTTTGTCACCGTTTTCGCGAAAGAGAAATGGGCCTTAGGAGGGAGAAACAAAAAAATGGGGGGGCTGAAAATCTAATCCGGGGTTACGGGGCAAATTTAACCTGACCCGCCAGCTTGTCTTCTTCTTTCTATTGGTAGCCCTTACTGATGAAAACAGAACTGGATCTAACAAAACTCCCAAAACCTTCTTCGAGATTTCGTAAACCTTAGCCACCGGAGTAAATCATGGGAAAAGCAAAGAAGAAGCCTAGCAAAAAAGGCGGAAAAAGGCGGGACCAGATGCAGTCGCCATGAAAGCCAATAATCTATCTCGCCGGAAGTTTCATGTCCTCGGTAAGAAGCGTAAAGTTAAAAAAGCCTACATTAGTCTCTCACGATCTCGTGCTGTTGATAAGACGAGTAACACGCTTCTACAGAGCTTCAAATCTTTGGGTTTCATGGATAAGCGTGTTGGAGAACAGAACGATGAGATTGGAGAACTCGTCAAGGAAGGTGAGGAATCAACAAAGAAGAGTAAAGGTGAAGAACGCCCGTTGATCTTTCACGATCTCCTGCTGTTGAAAAGAGGAGGAAAATGCGTCTTTCATGCTTAACTTGCTTTATGAAAGTTTCTTGTTTTCTGCCACCTAGATCTTCTATGGTCTTCTCATGCAGTATTTTGTCGTTCTTATTAACAAGAAGCCCTTGAACTTTGAGTTACTAAATATGCTGGTAAACCTTTGATTGAGATGAGGATGGAGATTCCCTTCTTTGCTGCAATATGTGCTCGCCAGTGGTTTTGGATGACCCATGCCCAATTTTGCGAGGCCACCAAGAATCCAGGTTTGTGGTGCTTTAACAGCCTTAAGTGTTAGTGCCTTTAAAGATGCATGCCTCTTCCATTTTTTTGCCTTAACCAGCTCAAAAACATTCTTTCCGATGATGGATGTTGGCCTTCCTTGAAAACATTGTATCTCCTGTAGCTTTGGTCCATTATTTTTTCGTTCTCCGACTTTCGCCATATTTTGATGATTCCGTCGATACTGTTGATGCGTGAATATCTCATGCGCTGTCCCATCTCCTCTGGTCGTGATATTGCCATAGGTTCTTTCTTGTGCTCCATTGTTCTCTTTGTAAGGAGAAGTAGATCCCTACCCTTTTCCTTGGATATTTCAATTTTTCATTTTTCTCATGCGAACCAAAAGCTATGTGATTTTTCATGGGGT